TGACCTGACAGGGCTGTTGAGAGGGATGGTGCGGTCTTGCAGGTAGCCCGTTACCCTCCAATAGTCTGCACCCCCTCTGCCGCTCCAGGCCTTTGAGGTGATACAGGGCAGTGGGGAGCCCCAGGCTGGGAGACGGGACCTCTGAATGTTCCCAGGGGCCCCTGCCCCCATGATGCCATTGCTTCCATAAATTCTCACTGAGCACGTATCCTATGCCAGGCTCAGGCTGGCTCTGCCGTAGCCCCAGCCATGTGACCAGCTGTCCCAAGCCCTGTCTCCCACCCTCCCTCACTCCTCCCCGGTCCAGCTGCAGTAACCTCCTCATTCCCCCAGTCCACCAGACTTCCAATTCTGCTGCCCAGAACATTCCTGACTAACCCTTACCTATCTGTCAAACTCAGCTTATGTCACTTCCTTGGGAAACCCTTCCCAAATCCTACCTCTTCCCCCATCTAGATTAATTACCTATTCCTGTGCAGATCTAGCCCCCAGGCCCCAGACTCATCTTCAAAGCAATTATCATCACCTGAAATTGTTTTTCTGGTTGGTGTCTGTCTCCCCTAACCACACTGTTAGCTCCAGGATGGCAGAGACCGGGTCTGTTTTCTTCCCACTACATCAGTACCTGAAAAAGAACAGATGATCAGGAAGTGTTTGTTGAGTGAATGAATGATGTTTCACTCAGGCCCTTGATGCGGGAGAGTGCCAGGGGATACTCCAGGCAGAGGGAATAGCACGGGCAAAGGCCTGGAGGTGGGAAGACAGGTCCTGGCAGGTTCCTTGCAGTTGGGGTGCAGGAGGCAAGGGGGGCAGAGCCGAAATGGAGGTGGGGTGCCTAGGAGGCACAGAGGAGACTGGATCTTACCTGAAGCCTGGGGGATTGTTGGGGGTCACAGCTTTGCAGGCATTTCCCGAAGCACCACTATCGTGACAGCGTATGTGATGACGGTGACAGGGCTAGGCTGGCGGGACGTGCTTGAAGCCATCAAGGCCACACGGCCCATCGCCAACCCCAACCCAGGCTTTAGGCAGCAGCTCGAAGAGTTTGGCTGGGGGAATTCCCTAAAGGTAGGTACTGGGACAGGGGTTGGGTTGGGCCAGATGTGGGAGACCCTTCTTCCCACTTGGACAGAGAACCGATCAGAAAGATTTTAGCCTGTGCTTTGGACCTAGCAGATTTTTCTGGGGTTTCAGACTTGTGGCCCTTGAGCTAATCCAGCTCCTAGGTGTATTTTGTTTGACAGCTAAGTGTTTTCTTTTTAAATACAGAATTTGGATGCTTTTAGACCAGACTGTGGGCCCCTCAATTTGACCAGGCCTCCCAGCACCCCCCACTGGCTGCTCTACCTGGTAGCACCTGAGGGCACCTAGTAACCCTGGGGAGAAACCTGTCCATGTCCTGCTTCACCCTGGGTCCCTGATGAGCCCAAAACAGCTCCTTCTCTTATACCTCTAGGGCAGATGGCCCACGAAGTGTCAGGACTGGAGGGCTCCCTGGGGACAAAGGATGGGGGGCTCTCGGCAGGTGGCAGGGCGGCACCCAGAGGCTGACTTGCAAGGCTGCATTAGGAAAGAGCTGTGAGCTGAGTTGTGCCCATGGACAGGATCGCTGAGGCGCGTGGTGTGGGGATAGGGGGTGGTTAATGCGGCCCTCACTGTGCAAGTGAGGGTCACTCCTGCAGGTCTGGAAGATGGAGTATCAAAGGGAAAGGGGGGTTCAGGAAGAGGGAAGGGCCTTTTAGAGGAGAAGGGGGACTCAGTGAGGGGATGGCAACCCCAGAAGGGAGGCAAAGAGGATCTCAGGAAGGGGAGGGGCTTAGCGATGATAGAGGGGCGGAGCCGTCCGTCTTGGCCCCGCCCCGGGCAAGCGTTGACCCCGCCCACCGCCGCCCGCGCAGCTTCGCCAGCAGCTGGAGGAGCGCTTCGGCAAGAGCCCGTTCCGCGACGAGGAGGAGCTGCGCGCGCTGCTGCCGCTGTGCAAGCGCTGCCGGCAGGGCTCCACGGCCTCCGCCGCCTCCGCCGCGCCGCGCTCGTCCGCCTCCGAGGGAACCCTGCAGCGCCTGGTACCGCGCACGCCCCGGGAGGCCCACCGGCCGCTGCCGCTGCTGGCGCGCGTCAAGCAGACTTTCTCTTGCCTCCCGCGGTGCCTGTCCCGCAAGGGCGGCAAGTGAGGATCCCGCCCCGCCGTGGCTCCCCGTTCCTCCCGACTGGTTTCCTTTGGGGGCCGTCTGGGCCACCCACGCCTCCAGGACGGGCCCAGAGGCTGCGGGAGCCCCGCGACGGCCTGATCCCCGCCTCCCTTGCCCGCCTGCTTGTCTGCGTCTGCAGTCAGTGTGTCCTCCGTCTGTGCGTCTCTGTGTCCGGCCGGCCTGCTTCAGCCACCTGGTGCCTTAGTCCTTGGGCTGGGGGAGGGGCCCACCCTTAAAGGCGGCTGGAGGGGAAGGGGAAGGGTGGGAGTAGGAGTTGGGGTTGGACGGGCCTGGGGATATTAAAGAGACACAGAAGTTGCCTATCCGCGTGCCTCCTAGTCATTCGGCGAAGGCGGCAGGACTCTACCAGGGGCCTGGAGCCTGCGGAGAGGGGGATGGGAGGGAGTGCGCAACCCCTAGGGGCCTGAGGAGCCCACCACCCTCCACTAACTGCAGTCTGCAGAGTTGAATTCGGGGACCACCCGCTTCTCTAACACTTCCCCACCCCTGCATCTCTCCCGGAACCACGGTCTCCTGACTAGGCCCCTAAGCCCCTCCTCCTCTCTGAACCCCCTTCCACCTTCTGAGCCCCTCTCCTCCTCCCTGAGGCCCCCTCCCCTCCGTGAGCGCCCTCCTCCCCAACTCCCTGCCTTTTCCTATGCACAAATACTAGCTAGTAAGGCAAGATTGTGCTTTCTCACACCTGGCCTTTTACTGCACGAGTTCACTTAATCCTTGGGAGGAAACTGAAGCTCAGAGAGGTCAGGCAGCTTGCCCAAGGACACACAGCTGGAACAAGGGAGGCTTGATGTGAACTTAGTCTGAGTCCCAGGATGGAAGCAGCTCCTTCTGGTTTCAGAGGTTACTGTAGGCAAGGAGTATCCACCCCCAGCTAGAGGGAATGACCCTTCCCACCAACAGTTTAAAGGCAAGGGCAGCCCAACAAAGCAGCAACTGCCTCCAAGGATGAATAGAGGTCATGGGAGCTGATTTTTCCTAAGCTGAAATTAACCCGAAGCTGAGAGGGGCCTAAAATAGCTATAACCCAATAGCCACTTGTATGAGGTTCTTATTATACACCAAGCACGGTGCTCAGGGCTGTGGGGGAGGCACAGACTCCAGCATTGGGGTGGGGGGAAATGGACAAAATAACCTTCACCTATGGCCCCAATCTCCTACTCCTCATTCATTCAACAAATGTCCATTCAGCACCCACTGTGCCAGCCATTGTGCTGGGCACTGGGGATACAGCAGTGAGCAAAACCTCTGCCTTCCTGTCACTGACATTCTGGGAGGGAAGACACCAGATAAGCAGATAAACAAAAGACAAAATATGTCAGGTGGCGAGAGAATGGTCCATATTGCTATCTGAGGGAAGCATTCCAGGCAGAGGGAACATTAAGTGAGCAGGCCCCGAGTCAGGATCGAGTGTGAAGAACAAGGTGGCTGGATTTATGAAGTGCAGGGAACCTGCGGTCTTCCGCCCGGTTGATGGCACCAACATCCACCTGGTTTAAAACACCTTCCTAGCTCGGATGGTGTCCTCCTCTACTTAAAAACCTCCATGGCCCTATCATTTACAGGCCAAAACAAAGCCCCTTGATCTGATGTTCCAGGTCCTTCAAGACGTTCCCACTCCACTTCCAGCATTTCTCTTACCACGCTGTGACTCACCAACAATACAACACTCACTTATTGAGCGCTTGCTCTGGGCACTGTGCTAAACACTTCACCTGCATCACCTGTAATTCTCAGATAACACTAGGGAGTAGGTGTTGCTATTTAACCGGTGAGGAATCTGAGGCTGGTGCCCAAGGTCACCAGCTAGCAAGCAGTAGAGCTGGGATGGCAATTCAGGAAGTCTGGCCACAGACCCTCTTACTTAGTGCCCTCTGTGACTTAAAAAGTGAAGGATCATCTGACATGCTCAAGATTCGTGCTTAGGTGTAATTATTACTCTTGTATTTAATCATATGAAATGCCTTGGGCCCCACTAGAGCCTTATAAGGCCTGAGTTTGAATCCCAGCCATGGCTGTAAAAGTGTCAGAATTGGTGGTTGCTGGAATATGGGGGTTGGGGGAAGGGAGGAACACGAAAAAAGCCCTCCCAACAGGTGTGCTTGAGAGAGGGTACTTCCAGCCTCTGGTCAGTGCTGGCTGGGTGCCCAGCTCTGTGCCCAGCAGAGTGGGCGGGGTTCTCTCTCAGAGCCTCAGTTTCCCCATGTACACAGCAAGGCACGGAGCAGTCTGAGCAACTAATCCCTTTCATATCATAAATCCGCTTTGACAATTTATTTTTTTATTTTTATTTTTTTAATTATTTAAAAATGTTTATACATTTTTTTATTTTTAAAAAATAATTTATTCTAGCTTCTTGAGAAAAAATATATTTTAACAGGAAAATACCACATATAGGCCAGTCCTGGCTAGGAGTAAACTTCTAGGGTCAGTCCCATTAAATTGCTCCTATGGATAGATCTGCTTTCTTTTCTCAGCACAAGGCCTGACACGTGAACATATATGGAAAGGGACTGTCTCCAAGGTCCCTTAGAGCAGCCCATACAAGCAACAGGCTGCATACACTACCAAGAGCCCTTTGACAATTTAATGGAAGATTCAAACCCCAGAAAAATGCATAGACATGAACAGTTTGCATATGCTTTCTGGGGGACGCATACTCCCCCTAACCCAAGAATCCATAAACTTCAGGTGTAGCTGTCAGGAAGCAGTCTGGGCAGGGTTTAGGATCCTGGGCTTTAGGGAGCAGACAGACACTTTGGATCCTGGCTCCCACCCCCACCCCTAGCCCCACTAGCTCTGTGATCTCATTATAGGGCTTCAACCTCTCTGAACTTCAGTCTTATTAACATTAAAATAGGTCGTTATACGTCCCTCTTTTGCTGTAGTGAGAACCCATTGAGACACTGAAGAAAAGTGTTCAGCCAGGCCCGGGACCTGTGATGAGACTTGGCATATTTAAGGAATTAAGTGTGGCCCGTGGACCACCTGCATTGGAACCCCCTGGGGAACTCATTAAAATGCGGTTTCCTGGGCTTCCTGTCCAGAAAGTCCGGTTCTGCAGGTCTGGGACGGAGGTCATGAGTGTGCATTTGAAACCAGTCGCTGCCTCCCAAATCTGGCAAGAGTTGGTTTGGAAGCTCTGTACCTGTCAAACCTCGACGGTCCAGCTCCTGAAGAGCCTGAGAAGTTTCCAGGTGGGCTGGGAGGAGCAGATAACAGGTGCAGGGGTGAGGAAGGTCACGTCTCTGGGTGTCCCTCCTCCTCCCAACCCGGTATGCTACGGCAGGGCTGTGTCCCACTGCGCCTCTCCTCTCCACCCCCAGAAGAGGCCCGGCGCCCTCCAGGCCAGGTTGCCAGGGGGAGGGGCGAAAGGAAAAGGTCTCCGGGAGAGGAAACAAAATGGAAAGTGAAACCGGACCACCCAGAGTTTCACTTTCGTCGCCTCCGAGCACCGTCCAGGTGGCCCAGTGATCCCCAGACTAGCAGATCCAGCAGCTGTGAGCCCAGGACTTGGCCCCTGGCGTACTGCGTTCCCAATGGCCAGCAGCCCCTGGAGGAAGAAGCAGCAGAAAGTCCCTGATGACAGCAGGCGACCTACAGCAGGAGCCAGAGGTCCCCTGCGCCTCCGAGACTGGCTGGTGGCACAGATCGAGAGTGGGCGCTACCCGGGGCTGCACTGGGAGGACACGGGCAAGACCCTCTTCCGCATCCCCTGGAAGCACGTAGCCAAGCAGGGCTACCAGGCACAGCAAGATGCGGCGCTCTTCAGGGTAAGGGACAGGGAACTGGGGTCACCCAGCCCCGGGGGCAGCCTGGTCCCAGCACCTGGACCAGCTAACAGCTAGGTGACCATGGGCTACTTGCTGGCCTCTAGGATTGAGGGGCGTGTTCTCCACATATGGGAGACCCTCAGAGACCCTCTTCCAATAGCATCAGCCAAGGCTGTCCTGACCTGCCCCACCCCCACCTCTCAGAGGGCCTTTCTTCCCACCCACCGGGCAGTGAGGCAGCACAAGGCAAGTTCCCTCAACCTCCCACGCCCCAAACCACCAACTTGGGGACCTCCTGCAGGAATGGCCTCCCCTTCCCCAGTTATCCTTAACTTTTTCTAAACTGGCTCCTAACTGGCTCCTTTGCATGAACGTTTAAATTCTGAGTGGGTCTGCACCCGGTGGACCCCCCCTCCTTCTTGAAACATTCTCACTCAGGTTTCCAGTTTCTGGAATCTCTGCTGCCCACCCCGTAACCCCCTCCCAGGCCTCTGCTTCTCAGCCTCCATCCTGTCCCCTCCACTGTTGAGGCTCCCAGCACTCACACCCGGACCTCATGTCCCACTCTCCTGCCTCCATGGCCTCAGCGTGGAGGCTCCAGGCCTTCCTTCCAAGCCTCAGGCCTGCTGGTCTAGCTGCCTCCCTGTGCTATCTCTTGGATGGCCCCCAGCCCCTCAAACACATGTGCCCCCTAGAACACTTCAAATACCACACTCATCAGCTCACTCCCCTAAACAACTGCCACCTGTGTACATGAACCGGAGCCAGGCGCCTGGACCCTGGCCACCCACCCTCTTCTTCCAACCTCAGTCTGCTCCACCGCCAAGGCCTGCTGGCACTTCCTGCAGAACACCTCTCCAGTCTGTCCACTGGAACTTCCATCTCTCCCAGGGCAGCTGCAGTGACCCTGCTTCCCCCTATCCCTTAGCAATCCACACAGTCCTGCAGGGGGATCTTTCTAAATGCAAATCTGGTCTCCATCCTCCCCTACTCAGAATCCTTCAACAGCTCCCTACTGCCCTTGTGAAAAAGTCCCAGCTCCTCACCATGGCCTGGAAGCCACGTATGAACTGCCCCTCCCCCACCTCATCTCTCTCTCCACTCCCTCCCCTCCCCCACTTCAGTTCTTTCTGTTTCTCAATGCTTCATGTCCTTGTCACCATTAGACCTTTGCACATGCTGTCCCCTCTGCCTACACCACCTCTCCTCTTCACCTTTGCCTGGCCAACTGCCCCAGTGTAAACATCTCTTCCAGAGAGCCTTCCCTGATGCATTCATTTATTTAGTGCGTTTATTAAGCCCTGATTCAATACTTCTGCCAAGTTCAAGGCACAGGCTCATTGGAACAACTTTCTCTATGAATTTTAAGTGCCTAGTATGAGTCTGTCTCCTCCAGCAGACCAGGAGCGTGGCCTTCAAAGACATTCGTGATCTGGCTTCAACCAATCTCTTCTCCCTTAATTCCTTTTCCCTTCCCCGCCTGCCACACACAGTCCATCCTCATTCACAGATTCCGTATTTGCAAATTCTCCTACTTGCTCCAATTTATTTGTAATCCTAAAATCAATACTTGCATCACTTCCGTGTCCATTCATAGCTATGCACAGAATGGCAAAAATGTAAGTCGACCTTCAGGAACATTCGAAGGTGAGGTCAAACAAAGCAATTCCCTCCCTTCTTGTTTTGGCTCCCGTACTGTAAACAAGTGGCATTTTCCGAGTCTCTTTAGCGCCACATTTTAAAATATTTCTGTGCTCTTTGTTGGTGATTTCGCTATTTGAATGACCCTCAAGCATAATGCTGAAGTGCTGTCTAGCATTCCTGAGTGCAGGAAGGCTGTGATGTGCTGAATGGGGAAAATGATGGCAGACAAGCTTCATTCGGGCATGCTCCACACTGCTGTTGGCCATGAATTCAATGTTAATGAATCAGCAGTATGCATTAAATAAAGTGTCCTCAGACAGAAACACACATGAAGCAAGATTATGTATTGATCGGTTGATGAAAGTAGCGTGACCAGAGATTGGCAGGAACCAGGCCCTGTATTTCCCCTAGGAGCAATGGTTCCGGGTTCTCTAGTTCAGTGTTTGTGGAGACTGGAGAATATAACTACCCTGAATAATGACAGTCTACTGTGCACGTACCCCCAGACACACACACCCAGCAGCAGCAGCACCTGGCTGCTCACCGTCCTCTGCATGCTCATGCCCTTCCTCACCTCCAGGCCTTTGCTCAAGCTGTTCCCTCTGCCAGGAATGCCACCCCACCCCTCAACTTCCTACTCACCCTTTCAAGGCCCAGGGCAGTGCATTCAACAAATATTTTTTGAACATCCTCTGTGTGCCAGGCACCATTTTAGTTGTTCGGGCACCCGGCAGTGAACAAAACGAAGATTCCTCTTACCGTGATGATAGCACCCCCTGCCCTGTGCCCTCGTGCCTTTGAGTACTCTTAATGCGATGAATAAGTGCTGCAATAAATAAGCGCTGGCTGTGTGCCAGGCGCTGTGCCAAGCTCTATACACACGCCGGCTCATCTTGCACCCACCATGACCACGTGAGGTTAGGTGGCTATCTACACCCACAGACAATGTTTACAGGCAACGACATATATCCTCAAAAGGTCTCACCCCTGGCCCTGACACAGGAACTGTGGCTTTTCTGTTTCATGGTCTGTGTTTACCACTAGACCTGGAGTCTCTGAGGACAATGATTGGTGCAACTTATCAGTTAAATCTCCCTTGGCCCTGAACGTGATAAATGTAGCAGTACATCTCCCATGGCCTCCCCTTGGACCTCACTGCTCCAGCCACACTGGCCATGCCTGAATTTATCAATCGCTTTCCCGCCACAGGCCCTTTGCACTCACCATTCCTCTAAACCTTCAATTTGTCAGACTCTGTTTTTTTCATTCATGCTTCAGCCCAAATGTCACTTCCTCAAAGAGGCCTTTTCTGATCACCCTCTCTAAAGTAGCCTCTCATTTTTCTGATTTATTTACTTATTTATTCCCTCCCCCACAATAAATAGTCATTCAAATGTATTTAACAAATATCTGTGGTTTGTATGTTGATGCTTTGTGTGTGTTCTTACCTTATACACATCACGTGTTGCACATCTCATTCTGTGTCTTCTTTTTCATTCATGACCATGCTTTAAAGATCTGTTCTTGTAGAACTAATCTCTTGCTCCTAGATGCTTCTAGATGCTATATAGACTCCATAGTGGGTATCCATGACATGCACACTCCCATTCACTTTCCCAGGGCTGGATACAAATTTACTTCCAACTCCCAAGGCCACAAATAATGCTACTGTGGATTTCCTTGACCAGGTCTCCCCTTATGAGCCCCTCTGAGGATACCTTTGGAATTGGGAATTGGGATTTTTGCTCACAGGGTGTGTTTATACCACTTCATGCAACTAGGCATGCCAGATTACCAGCCAGGAGCACCGCACCCATTCCACACCCACCGGCACCTCCCCCCACATTCCCCCACACCACACCCCCGCCAACTCCTGGTATTGGCCAACTTGCTAAAGTTAGCTTATTGGTGACAGCTCACATTTTTATTTGCATTTCTTTGGTACAAATGAGTTTAAGCACCTCCTCATATGCTCATGACTTCTGGTTTTCTCTTTCATAAGCCACCAATTCCTATCCTTTGATAAGAATTTTCTCTTTAGAGAATGCTGTTTCTTGTCAATTTGCACAAGCTCCTTGTTTGTTCTACATTTCAGCCCCTTGCTGATTTCGGACAGTGTGATTTTTTGCCTTGTGGGTCACGCCTTTAGATTTGGTGTAAGAAGTGTTCTCTGCCCCTAGAAGGTGTTCTCCTACATTATCGCCTGTTAATTTTTATAGTTTTACCTCTTACCTTTGGTTTTTTAAATCATCTGGAGTCTCCTTTGTGTTTGGCAATAGGTAGGGATTTAGTTTTATGGTTCTCCAGATAGCAAACTACTGCCATTATTTTCTCTCCCATCATTTATTTTTTCTCTTATTTATCACAATCCATAGTTTGGAATATAGTTATTTCTCTTTAATTGATCGCAGCTGTCTTCTCCCACTAGACTTGGGCTACTTATGAGCAGGAACCGTGTCTGTCTTGTGTACCATTTAATCCCCAGCCCTGGCTCAGACCTATAATACAGCAGGAGCTCAAACAATGTTTGTTGGAGGGAGAGGGGGAAGGAGGGAAAATGAGAGAGGGAGAGTAGGGGGCAAGGCAGACCCTCATCCCTCCTGCAAGGCCCCAGCCCCTACCAGGCTATTCCTTCCCAAGCACCCCTGCCCCTCCCCAGGCCTGGGCTGTGCACAAGGGCAAGCACCTGGAGGGCAGCGACAGGGAGGACCCCTCCACCTGGAAGACGCGGCTCCGCTGTGCCCTCAACAAGAGCGCTGACTTCCGTGAGGTGCGTGAGCGCAGCCGGCTGGACATCTGCAACCCCTACAAGGTCTACAGGATTGTGTCTGGTGATGCCCGTGGTCCAGGTACCCTCCTGCCCCTGGAGGTAGTGGCCAAGGGTGGCTCTCTGGGTAATAAGGATCTCACTTTGCTCATCTGTAAAATGGGGAATCAGGGACTCAAGCTTTGACTCATGGGCTAGTAAATTTAGAAGGACCCTTAGACCACCCAGTTTATCTCCCCATTTGAAAACTGAGGCCCAGAGATAGGTGGGCGCTACCTGAGGCCCTGAAGTGAGCTGGGGTACTCTTGCCTAGAGTCAGTTGAGGGGGTTCCTTTTGGGGCCCGTGTCTCTCGTTCCATGCAGTTGCCAAGGCCTCTGATCCCCCTGAAGAGGGGGGCATTCCCTCCAGCCAGCAGGAGTCCCCTGGGGAAGTGACTGAGCCCGCCTGTGGGACAGACCAGGTTGGTGTATCCCTCCAGCCCCTGCAGCCTTGCCAGCTCAGTCACCTCACCCAAGCCGCCCATTTGCCCTGCTCTGTTGGCCCTGACCCCCGGCACTGCTCTCCTCCTGGCAGCCCCGCCTCTTCCCATCTCTGCTCCAGCTCTGGCTCCACAGACAGCCCCCTCCCGTCCACCAGCTTCAGATCCCTCACTCTATTTCCTCCACGCTCCCCCTCCCCCTCCATCCTTGGGGCCATCACTCTGCCCCATGCGCCCCATCAGGTCCAGCTCTGTCACAGCTGCCTCCCTCACTGTTCCCATCAGCCCCATCAGCTCCGTCTCCACCACTCTGTGTCACGCCCCCATCTCCACCCCATCACCTTTCCCCATCATCGATGGCTCATTGCTATCCCCATGCCCCCATCAGCATCCGGCCCATGGCTCTGTCCCCCCATGTCTATCGTCTCCAGCTCTTCACCTCCACGTTTGCCCCCCAGCACCCTCTCCCTGTCACAGCGACCCACTCTGACGCTGCTACCCACACACAGCACCCCCATCCACTCTCTTTACCTCCATGGGGGGCAGGGGGCTTCAGCTCTGAAACTCTGAAGCTTAAAAGCTCCTATCAACCCCAGCTGGCCTTCAGCCTGACCAGCCCTCTCTCTGCCCTGGTGGGGACAGTCTGGAAACTCCTGTGACCCACAGGTCTCTTCTCCACGCTAATGGCCCCTTTCCCCAATGCTCAGGAAGGCTCCAGATTAGCCACAGAGGAAGAGGACAAGGAGCAGCCCCCCAGGCTGGCCCAGGAGGGCTTGTTGCCACCAGCCACCCTCCTCCCAGGCCCTTTGGCTGACCACGGTAAGGACTGGGCCTCCTCACCCACTCCTGCCTCCTCCCTAGCCTCCTCCTTGACCTGGGGGACCGGAGTGAGGTGGTGCCTGACTGCATCCTCTCCTTCCCCAGCGTACCAGGCATGGGACACCAAACACCCTTGGAGTGTAGCGCTCTCTGAGGACTCCAGCAACCCTGGTAAGGAGTCTAAGGCCCTCCCCTCTGACCAGTGTGCAGAACTGGGCAGGACCCAGGGCTGGGGCCAGCTAGCCTCTGTTCCTCACCCAAAGCAGCCAGCCCAGACTGCCAGTACAACTGCCACAACAGCTAATGTTTGCTGCAGGCTTAGTGTGTCAGGCATCCTTCCCCGGCCCCACCCCCACAGCCCTATGATGTTGTTCATATGTACATATGTAGAAAACGAGACGCGGAGATTAAGAACCTTGCCCAAGGTGGCACAGCTAGTAACCCTGGGAAGGTGGCTATAACAGGTCACAGTCCCTAAGTGGCAGTGAGAGAGTAGAATCCAAGGACCTAGCAGCTGAGCCCACATCGCTCACCATAGAGCTGCTGGCCCATCCTCCAGTGGGATGCTGCTGCTGTCACTGTCGTTGCTGTTATTATTATTTCTACCAGCATTAAAATCTTTGCTGGGAGAAAGCTTCTAGAATCCCAGAGGATTTGCTGGGATGGACTCCGGGTCATGCCCTCATTGCACACATGGCCCCAGAGCTAATGCTTTTAACCACGGAGCTCAACTAAGTTTGTTTATACTCCAAGCTATTGTATATTACTACCACCACGACTAGAATTAGTATTACTACTGATTGGGAAGGAGCGCCAAAAATTCCCAAGGTGGGGGCCTGAAGCACTGCCCGCCGGGTCCCCTGCCCAGTTGTGAAGGGAGGAAGGGCAGGGCAGAGCGGCGCCGCCGCGCCGGGTTCTCGCCCGCAGGCTGCTGGCTGCACGTGCGGGTCTTCTACGGCGCGGCGCTGGTGCGGGAAGCCACCGCGCGCTCCGCTGAGGGCTGCCGTCTGAGCCCGAAGGTGGCTGCCGCCACCACCGCCGTGGAGCGCCTGCTGGGGCCACCCCCAAGCGTCGCGCAAGTCCGCTTTCCCGAGCCGCCGCCAGGCGCCCACGTGCTGCAGCGCCTGATGCGCCACCTAGAGCGCGGCGTGCTGCTGTGGGTGGCGCCCGAGGGCGTGTTCGCCAAGCGCCTGTGCCAGGGCCGCGTGTACTGGCGTGGCCCGCTCGCCCCGCACCGCGCGCAGCCCAACAAGCTGGAGCGTGAGCAAACCTGCCAGCTGCTCGACACGCGCCGCTTCCTGGAGGGTAAGAGCGCCACAGCAGGGCCGCTGGCAGAGCGAGGCAGGGTGGCGGGGGCACAGGGGGCGTGGGCATGAGGTGGGCAAAGGAATGTGGACAGAGGACAGATGTGGGCGCAGGGGGACGGGCTTAAAGGTGGTAAGCATGGGATAGACACGGAAACAAAGGATATGACACGGGGGGAAAGATTAGGGGCACCAGGAGGGCTGGGCACAGACATGGATATAGGTGTGTAGGGGGTGTAAGCACCAGAGGCAGGCTTGGGGCATTGGGTGTGGGGCGCAAGCATAGGACTTGGATGAGTGTGTTCGCGTAGGGGCTCTGGGCATAGGGTGGGCATCAGGGGCTCTGGGCACAAGATAGGCATAGGTGAGCGGCAGTGGCACAGGGTGGGCATAAAGCGTGAGAGTGGGGATGGGTGCACCAGGCAAAGGACGTGAGCACTGGAAGTAGGCATAGACGTGGGACGTGGGACAGGCATAGGGGCGTGGAAATGGGTAAAGGGCACAGGAACACAGCGGGGCTATAGGCTTACAGGGCTCGGCCATGGGATGTGAGCACACGGTGGGATGGGATGCCTGGGTGGGATGCCTACCTCCTGGCCCAGCCCCCATAGTCTCGGTGCCCGTAGAACTGCGCGCCCACCTGCAGGATGGTCACCCGGAGCCAGAGTACCAGATCCGTCTGTGCTTTGGCGAGGAGTACCCAGGCCCTCCAGACCAGCCCGAAGAGCGGCTCGTCATGGCCCATGTAAGTCCCTACCCCCACTCCAGCAGAGAGCCAGAGAGGGGCCCTCACCACCTCCTTCCTGTCTCAGCTGCGCCCTCAACTGACTGTATGACCCTACCTGAAAGATGGGGGTGGGGACACTGTCACTAAGGCTGTGACTTCCCACCTAGAATTCTGGGGGCCGGAAACTGGGAGAGTCAGCTCATTGCCCCACCTACCCCTCAGGTGGAGCCGGTCTTCGCCCGCCAGCTCCTCCTGCACTCGAAGCGCCGGGGCTCCGGCCCCCAGCCCGGTCCTTAGCCTGGAGTCGCTACAGCATCACCACCTTCTGATGCAGCTGAGCTAAGCGGTTGCTTCCTCCTCTTAAGGCAGCCCCCCACAGGGTGCGGACCCTTACCCCTAACCCAGCCCTGCACACACTGAGCCAGTGGAGTTGGGGCCTCTCTCACCTGTTGCCCAGGTTGGTGGGACAGCAGAAGCCAATCGTGCCTCTACCTCTCTGCAACGGGGATGGAGTTCTGGACCGGCCGGTAGGCGGCACCGCCGGGCCACTGGGCCTGGGGCCTTGAGGCCCCGGAAATGCAGCAACTGGGGCAGAAACAAGACTTCATCCTTTGTGGAGAACGCAACATACCAGTAGCGGCTTACTTAGAGCATGCCTAAACCTGCAATTGAGCTCATTGTGGCGTTTGCTGAGTGTATGACAGTTAGATCCTCAGGGTTGTTTAGACTGGGGCCACCCAGTAACAAAATTGCCTGGCCTCAGAGCGGCTCTGAGTTTCCGAACCCTTTCTCTGCCCTGCCACTAATCTCTCTTCTTTATTTGGGGGACTAGGCAGGGTCCCCAAACTGAGGACTTGATCTGAACCCTGGGCTTTGGATGCTAACCATTGAACCGCCAGCACCTGTAGGACACTGTCTTTGGAGAAACGGAGGCAGGCCCCAAAACTCAGCCCTAAGGCAGAGGCTAAAGTGGGAGTCCAGCCCCTCTCCAAGCCCCCTGATCTTTGCAAACTGTAAGTTGCAGTGAATCCTTGAGAATCCAGGTTTGGAGCATAAGCATAAAGCTGTTCCCCCTGGCTTTGAGTAAAGTTATCAGACCTTTTTTCCTTTTCTGATTTCTGACTTTATTTATAGGAATCCTCTTCTGGATGCCAATATAATAAATCCCTTTTAGTGATAGATGAATAAACCATTTTATGGGGGGAAACTATATTATTCAACAAAGGATAGAAGTCAGTCAGTTGCTGGGGGTCTTTTTTAGTCATTTAACAGACATTTATTGAGCAACTACTCTGTTCCAGTGTCCAGCAAGGGACACTGGAGCTAGAGCAAAACAGCATGGTCCCTACACTCTTGGGGTTCACATTCTGTTTTCCAGTGAGGATCCAGTGACTGTCCCCTCCCCCTGCCCCTCACGGAAGAGGTACTTTTAAGGAATTATAGAATCCTGGGTTCAAATCTCAGCTTTGTCACTAGCTAGCTGTGGGACCTCAGGCAAGTTACTTAACTTCTCTGAGCCTTGGAGATCTCATCTATTCAAAAGAAGCTTTGAAGGTCTTTGGAGCAGGGTTGGTCAGAGGAGTAGTGGGCAAGGGGGTGGCGGGGAGTTGCAAGCTGGCCTGGCACAGAGTAGGTGACACTGACTTGGGACTGTGAGAGCAGGGAGGATGCTGCCCTGTCCTTCAGAAGGTCTGACTGTCTGTTCTGGCCTTTGCTGTACCTCCCAGCCCCAGGCTGCAGCTGGGGTAGCCTCAGTTCAGAGTGATAATCCACAGCTACGTTCAAACCCCAGCTCTGTGCTAGGCTCCAAGAGCACTGGATTCTGTGTAAGGGAACCTGTTGCCTCCTCGTGATGGCCTGGACAGCTGAAGAATTGCCAGCTCCATTTTAGAGATGGAGAAACTGAGACTCAGCCAAGGTCCTGAGATGCCCCTTGGGAGGGGGGATGTCTCTGCCTGAAGGGCTGCCCTCCCCACACTAGTCACTAGGGGGCGCCAGGGGCTTGGCAGAACTGGGTCTCACTGGCCTTCATCCTGGTTCTCAGCGCCCCTCCCTGCAGACACCCCAGTGCTGGGAAAGCAGGGAGCAGTGTGGCCCCAAGGGCCCTTCCCTGCTGGGAAGAGAAAGCATTCCTCAGGCCTGGGAGGAGGAGAGGGGCAAGGGGGACTAGAGGCCTCCGGGGTTTTTCTTGCTCTATGAGGACTAGGCTTAGGTTCTGCCTCTGCTCTGCTCTCTGCCCCTCTTCCTGTACCTGTCTCCTTTCTCCCTCTGTGGATTTCTCGTTTGTCTCTGTGTCTCAGTGAGTCTAATTTTTTCCATACACTAGTTGTGTGTGTCTGTCTCTGCATGTGTCTGTCCATTTTGCTTGTCTCTGTCTTATCTTTGTTTCTCTATTTACGTCTCTGCCCCCCACCCTGCCACTGTCTGTTTCTTTATGTTTTCTGCCTCTATATCTTCTGGTTTCTGGCTGTGTCCTGCTCAGTTTCACATCCTGTCCCTCCCCAGCCGCCATCCCCCAGCAAACGTGGGCTGAGGGTCTCTGTCCCTTCCCTCCCACCTCCTCACCCCTGGCAGGTGCTCAGCTTCCCAGTCCTGGCCTCTCCTGCCCGCCTCTCCCAGGCCTTGGGGGAGTGGGCTGAGGGAGGAAGGGAGGGCAGCCTGGCGGGCCCACCCCTTTTTGCCTTTCCAGGCTGGGAGGCTGGGCCAGTGGGCCTTTTAAGCAGCCTGGGCTGGCTGTTCCGGACACCAGCCCTGGACGCCGTGCCTGGCCCCTCTGTTCCCGGCAGCCCGGCCAGCATGCAGCAGCAGCAGCCCCCGCCTGGGCCCCGGGCCCCCGCCACCGAGCCGACCAAGCCTCCCTACAGCTACATAGCCCTCATTGCCATGGCCATCCAGAGCTCGCCCGGGCAGCGGGCCACCCTCAGTGGCATCTACCACTATATCATGGGCCGCTTCGCCTTCTACCGCCACAACCGGCCTGGCTGGCAGAACAGCATCCGCCACAACCTGTCACTCAACGAGTGCTTTGTCAAGGTGCCCCGTGATGACCGCAAGCCAGGCAAGGGCAGCTACTGGACACTGGACCCCGACTGCCATGACATGTTCGAGCACGGCAGCTTCCTGCGCCGCCGCCGCAGATTCACCCGGCGGACAGGTGCTGAGGGGACCAAGGGCCCTGCCAAGGCACGCCGCGGACCCCTCAGAGCCACCAGTCAGGACCCAAGGGTCCCCAACTCCACGACCGGCAAGCAGTGCCCATTCCTGCCAGAGCTGCCAGACCCCAAGGGCCCAAGCTTTGGGGGTCTGGTGGGGGCCTTACCAGCCAGCATGTGCCCGGAAACTACCGATGCCAGGCCTCGGCCGCCCACGGAGCCCAAAGAGACTTCCATGCCCAAGCCTGCAGGCCCAGGGGAGCTCCCCGAGGCCACCTCGTCTTCCCCATGCCCAGTGTTCGGCTTTCCTCCTGCCTTCTCTCAGGCCGACAGTTTTAACAAGGCCCCTGCACCTGCCTTGACCCCAGAGCCAGGCACCGCAAGCAGCTACCAGTGCCGGCTGCAGGCGCTGAATTTCTGCGTGGGGGCTGACCCAGGCCTTGAGCACCTCCTGGCCTCGACAGCCCCCTCCCCTGCACCACCTACCACTCCAGCCTCACTCCGAGCCCCACTGCCCCTGCCGGCTGACCCCAAGGAACCCTGGGTTGCAGGTGGCTTTCCTGTCCAGGGAGGCTCTGGCTACCAACTGGGGCTGACCCCCTGCTTATACCGGACACCAGGAATGTTCTTCTTTGAGTGAAGGCAGCCTCGCCTCGGGCAGTCCCTGCAGGGGCCCTGCCAACTGCACCCTCCAGGTTGAGCTTGGCTTTGGACCTGGAGAGCTCTCGAAGGATCCAGCCCTGGCAAGCCAAGGACAACCAGGACAGACAGCCAGGAGCGAAGCCAAGCGCCAGCAGAGCGTTCAGCCAGGCCCCGGGGTCTCTGCACACACCTGGGGGTGAGGGGAAGTGGGGTCCCCTTGGGAGTGACTCTGTGGCTCTCAGGGCCAATAAAGGCAATGCAATGATGAGCTCAGCTTGCTGGATGGTCGAGCCGAGAGCCGAGGCCGGGACGCCGGGTTCGGGGTGGGGCTGTGGCTGTGGGGCTATGGGGCTGAGGCAGGCGCCCAGAAGGAAGCATCTCACATGTGGCTTTCTCCTGCTGGGGACTTTCTCAGGGAGTTTCCCAGGGAGGCAGAGGAGGGGAAGGCAGGGAATGGGGGCAGGGGGAGGAGGGACCCGCACAGGGTGAGGCTGGGCTGGCCTAAGGGGTGACTCTCCTGCCCCACACTCTGAGGCTCAGCATCCCCCATTACAATAGTCACAAGAACCGTGACCATGGGTGGCATTTATTCTGTCCTGGCTTGTACGTATCATCTCACCTGTGTGATGTGGAAAGTTAGCCCTGTTTCCAGCAGTGGAAACTGAGGCTCGGGGGTTGGGGGCACAGTAGCCCCAGCCCCAGCTGACACATGGGTGCAGAGGGGAAATCAAACCGAGTCTGTGTGGCTCTACTCTCCAGCCCCGGACCTGAAGTTTGAGCAAGGACACAGGGGTGGAGACCACGGTCGGAGCAGAGCTGGCGGTGCCCCAGAGTGAGGGCTTTGTAATCCTGAAAGCCATGTCTTAAAAAGGCAGCCCTTATGCTGTGCAGGCTGGGAACCCCAGGCCCAAGAGGCAGTACCTATCTCTTCTTTGCATTTCTCACACTAATGGGGGACCCCCCTGAGCCCCAGCTCTCCAAGGCCTCCTGGTGACTCTTGCAGAAAGCATTTCTCTCGGGACAGGGACAGGGTCTGTGGCTGTCCTAGGCACAGATCAAAAGTGACTAATCCCTGACCTTTGACCTTCTCTAGCTACCCCCTTTGTGGAAACAGGAAAAATGGGGGTATTCATCCTCCTCAGAGGAACAGACATAGAACCTGAAGCCTCACTGTCCCCACAGCCCACAGAGCTGGAGGAGCAGCGGCAACTGGCTTCCTCCCCAGAGCCTCAGTCCTCCCGTCTGGACCACGGGTGTACGCAGAGAGGCCAGGATGCTGGGGCACCTACATTCTGCTCTTTGACATGGGGCCTGGAGGGTCTTGTGTCCCATGAGGTGACATCCAGGGGGCTGGAGACCCCTCTTGGGCGGGCAGGCAGCCCAGTCCCTGCGGAGGACCTCCTTCGGGCAGGCAGCCACGCTGGCTTCAGCCCCTGCTGCTCGCTCCTCCCTGCGCAGGTCCCCTGGGGCCTGGGAGGAAGCGAGCTGGCTGCACAGCCCCCACTGTCTGGTTCCCACAGACTCGGAGCTGGGGTGGAGGGGGGACCTGCAGGGCGAGAGGGGCTGGGCAAACGCCTGGCCAGCTGTGGGCCCTCCCCACCGAGTCTGCTGAGCCCCAGCCCGAATCCGTCAAGACGGTGGGGAGAAGGAGTGAGGGTCTGTCCTGCCCCGAGTGGGCAGCTCTGTGCATACGAGGGGGGCCCTCCATGAGCGAGGGGGTTGGACGAGGAGGGGACGAGGCTCTTGTGTAGGTTTGTGGCCTGGGACGTGCCTGTGTGGGTCAGTGTGTCTCAGGCTGTGTGTGTGAGTGTGCGTGTGCTCACGCACAGGCTGTGCAGAGACAGGGTCAGTTGCGCCAGGCAAGGAGGCCTCTGCTGGGCACCGTTCCCTGTTGTGCATTCCTGTGGTGCCCTGGTGACCCCGGGCGCTTCCCAGCCTGTGTTCTGAGCTAGTAGGAAGATGGGGGGCTGGCCAGGCTGGGGGACCCACCCACCGGGCCTTCTGCCTTCTGCTTCTTTCTGTCACCAGGAGATACCTCCAGCTCCCGCCTGAGCACTCCCACCTGGGCAGGGCGAGAGGGTGGGGGTGAATGCCTGATCTGGGTTGACCCAGAGAGACCACCTTGGCACAGATGGAGAGACCAAGGCCAGAGAAGGTAAGTGACATGCCCAAGGTCACACAGCAAGGAGCAGAGGTGTCTTTCCAACCCATCCATCGTATCCACTTCCACTGCTTTATCTGTACAGCTCTTGGGGGCAGGGTCGTCACTTGTGACTCTACCTAAAGACCCCTCCTCATTGGAGGCTTTTCTGTCTCCAGGAGGGGGTCCCTGTCACCGTTCTCCTCCTGAGCAGGTTGGAGCAAAAAGGGGCGCTGAGACGCCTTGCAGAGTTAGACTAAATCAAGTCCTAAAATGGTAGAATCAGTGGTATTTCAGAATATTCCAGAGTTTTTTCATCACAGCCGTTCAGATTCTTGGAATATCCGAGTTGGAAGGGCATCTCCTGCCCAGTTTCTAAATATGACACCGAGTCCTCAGCCTCACGTGGGGCTCCGGGAAAGGGGAGCCACGGCCCCCAGAGGCAGCCCCTTCCCACCAAAGCGTGGCAGCTCCCAAGGAGTGTCGGGAAGCTCTTCACCGGCTGGGCCCTCGGTCTGTGCTCTCCCAAGGGAGGGGAGCACTCCCTGCCCCCAAGCAGCCACCCCCACCCACAGGGCAGGCCTTCCTCGGAGGCCCCTCCACCCCCACGTCTTATCTCCGGCCTGCTCTCCGCCCACCCGCTTCCTTCCCTGGTTTGCAGCATTCCACGGGCAGCGCTGGACGCTCCTTCCCACACCGGACAGAGCTCCGGCTGGGGGCGGGGAGACCCCCTCCCTTGGAGGGCTGGGCCCCCACGGCTGCCACGGTGCTGAGGAAGAAGTGGCGGCTGTGCTGCAGCCCGGCACGGCCGCCCGCTGGGAGTGCACAGAACCTGGGAATCCAGGCCTCACCCGAAACCTCCCCTCCCCGCACAGACCAGGCTGCGGGGGCTGTGGGCGCCTCTGGAGCCCGGCTGGACGGGTCCACATCCCAGCTCTGCCGCTTCCTAGCTGTGTGACCTTGGGCAAGTGGCTGCCCCTCTCTGTGTTTTCCTCCTCTGTGAGCTGTGGACACTCACAGCACCCACCTCCACGGGGCTACTGTGAGGATTACATGAGATAATATTTGCAAAGTGCTTCGAACAGGGTCTGACACATGGCAACCACAAAGTAAGTGTTTGTTAAGCAAAATAAAGGGGCATTTGGGTTCTGGGACTGTCCCCTCTAACCTGACTTGCCTCCTAGATGAGTGTGTAGCTGTGGGGTAGGACAGCAGGATGCAGGGGAGGAAGGACCGTTACACAGATGAGGCTTTGGACTCAGTTCCTAGCATCGCCACTTCCTTGCTGTGTGACCTTGAGCTAGTGGATTCACCTCTCTGAGTCTCAGTTTTCTCATCTGTAAAATGGTAATGATTCCAACCCCCAGGACCGCACACTGAATGTACAGTATGTGCACAATTCGGTCAGCAGGAATGAAACTGGAGTGTAAAAGAACCCCACCAGAGGGCCTCAAACCCTCCGCCCAGTCCCCTCTGCCACTCCCCTCGCACGAGCCAAAACCCACATCCCCACAGGCCCAGAGGTGCCTGATCCCCTGCTCCACCCTGCTGGTAACTGGGTGGGGACTCGGGGAGGCAGCTGGTGGGGCAGAAGGAAGCACCGCCATGGTTTACAACAGGCCAGAGGCCCATTTAGTCACGCAGTCAGCCAGAGCTGGTGCCTGGGGCCCCTGAGGCGGCCAAGGCCACCCCCTCCGGACCACAGGCCTCAGGGCCAGTCTTGAGGTCGCCTGAGCTCGCTTGGACACAGACAAGAGAGGCTGCTCCCCTAAGCCAGCCGACTCTCCAGTGAGTTTCTTTCCATCTCTGGGCCTTTGCACCGGCTGTCCCCCTGCCTGGAACGCTGTCCCCCTGCCTGGAACGCTGTCCCCCTCTGGCTCTCAACACGCAGCACCCAGTGGAACATCACTCCCTTTTCTAATCAGAGGCCCTACATTGTTGTCCCTCTCTGCCTCCTGTTTGGTCCTCCCCACCGCATGGCGCCTGCTGCCATGTGGAATTGCCTGTGCCATTCGCCTTTTATTGGGTCTTTGCCTTAGAAAGCAAGCGTCAGGGCTCATTCATTTTTTTTTCTTTCTTTTTTTTATTTATTTACTTTTTTTTTTTTTTTTTGAGACAGAGTCTCGCTTTGTTGTCCAGGCTAGAGTGAGTGCCGTGGCGTCAGCCTAGCTCACAGCAACCTCAATCTCCTGGGCTCAAGCAATCCTACTGCCTCAGCCTCCCAAGTAGCTGGGACTACAGGCATGCGCCACCATGCCCGGCTAATTTTTTCTATATATATATATCAGTTGGCCAATTAATTTCTTTCTATTTATAGTAGAGACAGGGTCTCGCTCTTGCTCAGGCTGGTTTTGAACTCCTGACCTTGAGCAATCCGCCCGCCTCGGCCTCCCAGAGAGCTAGGATTACAGGCGTGAGCCACCGAGCCCGGCCCTACTTTTTTATTTTTAGGGCTCATTCATTTTATCTCCTTCTCTAACCTGAAGACTAGCACATAGTAGGCCCTCAATGAAGGTTTGCTAAGTGGATGGATGGAGTCATGGTCCCCCGTTCATCCATTCATCATGGATTGAGTCTCAAAGAACCCCCAGAGACTCCCTGTCTCACCCAGAGCAAAAGCCCAAGTCCTTTTGGGCAAAGGGCCTGTGGGACTTTGCTTCCCCTCCTGACTGTCCCCTCCCCTCACTCACTCCAGGCAGCCTCCGCACTTGCTCTTCCCTCGGCCTGGACTGGCCCTGTGCTAATAGCCACAGGGCTCACTCCCTCACGCCCGTCAGTCTCTGTCCAAACATCCTCAGAGAAGCCTTCCTTGGCCACCACATTCCCTGTCCCCTCCCCAACATTTTCAATTCATTATTGCCATTCGGTTTCTGTCCCTCCCACTGGGATGAAGCTTCATGAGTTCAGGGATTATTGTCTATTCGCTGCTTGTCCCCAGCACCTAGAACAGTGTCTGGAACATAGTATGGGCGTGAGAAATCATTGTGAAACAAATACGAGCTCAGCAGCCTGTACCAGGCTCTACCTACATAGCTCAGGTAACTTTCACATTGACCTTGGGAAGCAGATGCTATTATTACCTCATTTTACAGATGGAAACTGAGGCTCAGAGAGGGTAAATAAATAGAT